TACGCTACTCATGTTCTTGTATGATGTCCAGGGCTCGACAATTAAGGCAATCTACTTACCCGTGATGAGTAGATTTTAGCCCGGCATGGCCATGCAGTGCAGTCAGTGCATGTGCAGCGTGCGGTTCCACGTGGCTGGCGAGCAGGGCTTGCCTCAGCTTGGCGAGCCCTGATGATGTCTATATGTGGGGTTATGAATATGGGCTCTTCACTGGTACTGTGAATGTTCTCTGCCCGAGACAGAGCAATGGCCTGGACTGCCTGATGCAAAGAACAATTGTTCAGTCAATGACTGCTAATGAGCAGGGACCCAAAGACAATGGCTCTTTAGGTGGCCCATACACATGTGAGGAATGCATCTGGAAACCTGCAACCAAATCTATTTACAGACCAAGGAAACATGGAATTAATCCCCTGAGATCAAAGGATGGTTTCCAAGTTTTGAAAAAGATAATGAAGCAATTGCTTCTTGCTGGAGGGCTCCTGAACCGCCCCTCCACCACAGTCCCAGAATCCCTCAACCACCACCTATGGACTATCTTGAAATATTTCCTACCCTGAATGAGGTCCATTGCTTTGATGGCAGCTTGAAGAGTAACAAGGCAACTGAACGAGACGGACTCCCCCCCAAAGTCTTCAAAGGCAGTGGGCCAGAGCTGATTCGAGATCTGGAATAGGGAGTAGATACCACAAGAGATCAGACACACACTGATAGTCAGTCTATTCAAGAAGAGTGACAAATCGGACTGTGGAAACTATGATGGCATCGCCACTCCTGGCAACAGCAGGGAAAAAAAAAAAAAAAATCTTAGCTCGAATGCTTGCCAATCAACTCATGCCACTTTCAGAAGATATTCTTCCAGAATCCCAGTGTGACTTCCAACCATTCCAATGAACAGTAGACATGATCTTCACTGCTTGGCAATTAGAAGAAAAGTGTTGTGAACAAAATCAAGCCTTATACATGAGTTTCATCAACCTGACCAAGGCGTTTGACAATCAATCATAGAACCCTGTGGACCATCCTCTCAAAGATCAGTTGCCCTCCCCAAACAAAAAATCAGCAGCATCCTGACATTGCTTCATGACAACATGACTGCCACAGTGCTGAACAACAACGGATCCCAAAGTGACCCCTTTGAGGTCAAAAGAGGAGTTAAACAAGGCTGCGTCATTGCCCCAGAACTGGTTTGCATTGTCATTGCCTTGACCCCCATCTCATTGATGGCAAGCTTCCAGGTGGTTTGAAGATTGAAAAGTTTCCCATTCGTTCCGTAGACAATCTCAGGAGACTGAAGGCCAAAAACAAGACTGTTGCGACTTGTACACGGATGACAATATGACTGCTACTCCTTTTCCCCCGTAGCTCTTCAGACCATCTTAAGCACCTTCACTGAAGCATATGAAAATCTCAGCCTCACACTCAACATCAGAGACCAAGGAGCTCCATCAACCGTCGCCGACTGCACAATCTAATGTACCGTCTATTCATGTCAGAGAACTGCTGGAAAACGTGGAGCAGGTCCTGTACCTTGGAAGTCATCTCTGCAAAAGTCAACATAGACACAGAAATCCAGCATCGCCTGAGCTGTGTAAGCTCTGCTTTTTCCTGAGACGAAGGGTTTTGAGAACTTGGACATCAATTCCAAGACAAAGCACCTTGTGTACTACGCAGTGGTTGTTCCAACACTGCTGTACGCATGTGAAACCTGGACAACATATAAGCATCATCTGAAGGCACTTGAACAATATCACCAATGCTGCCTCAGGAGAATCTTAAATATCCCTTGGGAGGACAGGCGCATAAACACTAGCATCCTGGAAGAGTCGAACATGACCAGCATTGAAGCTATCGTCAACTACCAACAACTTTGCTGGATTAGTCATGTGATCCTAGTGCCTGATCAGCGCTTCCCAAAACAGATGCTGTTTTCCAAGCTGAAGGAAGGACGGAGGAGCATGGAGAATCAGATGAAATCATGTAAGGACATGTTGAAAGCAAACATGAAAAAAAGCAGCATCAGTGTCGACACTCGAAAGAACCTTACCCAAGAATGTTCCCAGTAGAGAGTGGTAATCCAGGAGGGGGGTGACACAATCTGAGAGGTCCCGCCAAAGCACAGACAAGGAGAGGTGGAGAAGGAGAACAGAGCAGCAAAAACTGCCATACGTCCCTCCAATAGCCCCAACACGAAGGATTTGTAAGGGGGAGAAATAAAATAATGAACACATTCTATACTGCATCAACAGCACTGTAACTAGTGCCATGGGCAATAATGGTAGTATTACTGTGCTAAAGTTCAAAGCAAAAGTATACTACTGAAAACACAGAATACTGTATAGCCCCGTCTCCAGAAATATCACCAACAACAATTGTAGACAAGACTTCAGAGATTGACATGACCCTATTATACTGATATTCTGTGTCTAGATCAGGCATGCACACAACATTTTATATAATTAGCATTAAAAAGGTTTGATGCTCAAAATGTAATCTTGTGATTGTCACTTCTCATTAAAAGAAGGTTTTTTTTCCACTGATGTACTGTCACTGCAGTACAAATTTCTGCTCCAGTTCAACAAGTACAACATTTAGGGTACAACACTCCTAATTCAGAAGAAATTTAAGTTACAGCAGCTGCTGAGAACTGTGAAAACACTGCCTGTTTATTAAATCTTTTAGTTAAAACCAGTAAACATTCCCATCAGTTTGAAGACATCTCTGATGGAGCATTGTATCTATTAAACTCAATTATCAAGAAAAGCCATTTGTATGGTGTCTATTACACGTCGTCATTAAACTTGTTTCTCTACTAGAAGCCACCTACATCACTTTCCCCAGGTATTTGTTTGTGCAAAAGTCTGTTAATTAGCATATGAATTAGACTGTTTGCTTCCCAACATACTTTATTAACAAGATGCTTCATGTCTAGAGACCTTGCCTCAGAAAATAAACAACCCATTAAAACAAATTTGAAGTCTGCTGTTTTTACAGTTTTAAATAAACTAAAACTTAGAACTATTGCGAGGTTATCAAGAAACCCAAAGTGCCGTATCTACTAAGTTTTAAATGTATTGCAGGCAGATCAGTAAAATGTGCACATCAGGATCTCCTAGCTATTCACTGTGGCACATGAAAATGCTCTGCTGGGGTAAATGTAGTCACTGGCCCACCTAGATCTGACCTAGTACTTTTTACTTTCAATCTTTAATTAGAAGTCCCAGGCCAAAAGGAACCTTTTTCCACTTTTAAGACTACACTAACGTTTTAAACCAAATTATGGTATTGTCCCTTTGAAATCACTAGCATTTCAGCAATCTTCTGTTTGCACCTTACTCAGTACCGTTAGGAGACAAAGTGTCACATTTAAAGTTAGTAAACAAGTGAAGGTTCTGATTGTCAAAAATTGTGTTGTTTCTAGTGTAAATCATTTGGCGAGCTTTTAAGAAAAATTAAAAACAGGTTTACTATATAATAAATTCTGAAATGCAGATAACTTTCACCCTATTACACATTATCATATATGCAGTGTTCCATATAAGATGACGATATAAACATTTATTGCGTGAAGACAGCACTGGTGAAGTGCTGCATTAGGAAATCAAAAGGGCACTGGCAACTCCAAACACATACATAAATCCAGAAAATTTAGGAATCTTGGATGAGATTAATAGGTATACAAAATATATTGAAAATACACACTTAAGGTACAGTTTTAACACTAAATAGTATGGAATTTAAGTGTTCTCTAGGCTTTGTATTTTATAAGAATTCGCCATTAGGGATGTAAATGATTAACTGGTAAGCCTCATGCCCATCACAGGCTGGGGTAAGAGAGGGAGCTGCTCACACACTGGCTCTCCCTGGGAGTGGGGCTGGCCACAGAGATTGCAGAGAACCCTCCCTGGGAATGTGGCTGGCAGCCATTGCAGGGCCCACAGTGCGTGTAACCAGAAGGATTTTTAGTGATTACATGGTTACATTTTTAAACAACTTTTTACATCCCTACCTAGTATTACTCAAATTTTAAAACAGTAATAAAATGTAAGACTGCTTATGTTGAACCTAATTTTAGAAGCCCTGTAAAAGATAGTGGCCTCTAGCTTGATTTGCCAGCTAGTAGGAACAGAGAATTGCTGGACCCCCCCAGCAGACCAGGGGGACAGGAGCAAAGCCGCAGAGCACGCCTGCAGCGGGACAGCCCAAGCGTGCCCGGGCTGTCCTGCTGCGGGCGTGCTCAGTGGCTTTGCTCCTGTC